TGGAAGCCCAAAGGCTGGTGGATCGGGGGGCGGGGGGAGACCTTCTAAGTCATCTGTATCTCTCTGGCCAGTGGAGGGCTCGTCCCTCGGGCTCCATCCCGACTCGTTCGAACGGCCCAAACAGCGAAGCTGCCGCCCGTTCTTGGCAGAGATCTCTCTGGCGGGGTTTCCCCGGTAGCCAGCCTGCGCTTTCCTTCATTTCCTGAGCCAGAGCAACTGCCCTGCTCCCCGCAGGCCGCTCTCTGCCCTGTGCCGGCGGGAGAGCCCTGCGCAGAAACACAATTTGTATCTGCATCTGTATCCGCACACGTGAGCTGTGGGCGCGGAGACCCGCAGGCGTAAAGCGGATCTGCAGGGATCTCGGGGGGAATGGTCCGTTCCCTGGGACGAGTGGACGAGGAAGCGCCTAGTCTTCAGAGCTGCTTACTCAGTACGTCTGGAGCCTCTCCGGCTCGGAGGGCAGCTGTCTGGCCTGGCTTGGGCGGGTGCCGGAAGCACAGGCCAGCTGGGTTGGCTCCCCGTCGTTGTTTTGCCTCCGGTCCCAGGTCACTGTCACACGTGGGGACTCTTGGGAGAGGTGCAGAGACACCCGTCCATGGCAGACACCCTCTTACAGCTGTGCTGCTGCTGTTCCCTTCCTTGCAGGCCCACCAGCAGGCCCCAGGAGAGCTGTCCTTCTACGCAATCAACACCGTCCAAGTCAGTGGCCAGGAGAAGTATCTAATAGTAAGTCCCGTGCAGCTGTAGCAACTAGATCCCAGCTGGCCTGCCTTGCTGCGCCTGTGGCAGCCCTGTGTTGGCCTGGCCTGCGCATTGCCGCCGGGCGCTGCGTGGGCTTCGGGCTATCGGCAGCTCGTGCCCCTTTCCCTCTGTCTCCTCCGCTCCAGCTGTACGAGATTGACGTGGACACAGAGTTCATGAAGGCATCAGACGTGGTGTGCGATGTCGCCTGCTTAATGTACAACGTGAATGATCCCGAGTCTTTCAACTACTGCGCCTGTATTTATAAGGTGAGCGTCACGTCCTCAGGCCCCCGGATGGAAATCCACACCCTGCCGGGAGAGGCAGAGGGTCCCTGCTTCCGCTCTCCCATATTGTCATGCCAGCATCCTGCGAGCAAAGTGCTACCGGGGCGTCCCCTCCCAGCGAGCTCGCTTGCTCTCCTGCAGGAGATCTTCCCTTCCTCGGAGCCGGGCTACGCCCCCGCTTCCGATTCAACTCCCTTTCCCTTGAGTGCCGGGGGGGAGGGGTGACCTCTTCCCCGTGTCTCCCTGTCGTGACCTTTGTGTCTCCTACACAGCAACGCTACATGGACGGACAAATCCCCTGCGTCTTCGTCGCCTCCAAGTCAGACCTTGCTCTCCTGCAGGAGATCTTCCCTTCCTCGGAGCCGGGCTACGCCCCCGCTTCCGATTCAACTCCCTTTCCCTTGAGTGCCGGGGGGGAGGGGTGACCTCTTCCCCGTGTCTCCCTGTCGTGACCTTTGTGTCTCCTACACAGCAACGCTACATGGACGGACAAATCCCCTGCGTCTTCGTCGCCTCCAAGTCAGACCTACCCGAAATGACTCAGCAGCACGGCCTCTCGCCTGCCGAGGTCTGC